TATTGTTTTTAATTAATTTGCTATATCAGTTTTGTAATTTATTATGTACACATTTTTGTTAGAAACAAAAGAAATATTGTGACTTAAAATTCTCGCTTAATACACAGATAAGTAAAATGTGAAACATCCTTGGCTTCATCTCTTATTATTTTTCAAAATTTTTAATTTTTGATGTTTTGATTTATATAAAAAATTTAAAAAAATTTATTATATAACATTGTAAATTTAGTTTATGAATATTAAGGTTTATTTATACGTAGATTAAAATTAATATATAATATATGCTTAAAATTTTTTACTTTTAGTATATAATTATATATGAAATAATACATACTTAAAACTCAACTTACATAATTTTTGGAGAAAAGATACCATGAATAGTTTAAAATATATATGTATATATATATATATTATACTATAGGTGTATATATGGAACAAATTTCTATAAAAAAATTTGAAAATGTTATATTGTTTACTACGTCATAATATAATAAAAATTTTAACCCAAAACTAAAATATTTAGTTAATAAATTTTTTTTGGGTACAGCTATACTTTTGATTTTTTTGTAAAAAAATAATGTTAATTTTAGTTTGATTTCGTTCATAATTTTTAATTGATATATATGATATAATAATAAAAATAATAACAATAATAATAATAGTAATAATGAGAGAAAAAGACCAAAAAAAAAATGAAAACCAAAGAAAAGAAGGAAGCGGCGAAGCGATGAAAGCCCCGAAAAAAAATTTAAAATAAAAAAAATTTAAAAAAAAAGGCGAAAGGCAAAAATTTGAGAAGGCGACCCATTTAGGTTATAACCCGGAAACGACTCGGTTGTGGCCCGCGTCCCTTTTTTAAGTCCCTTGAATTTGGATTCCAATTATTTGTTCCCACAAAAGAATTGAAAATAAAGAATTGAATCCCATCTTGAATTATAATTCTAATTCTTGGACCTCTATTTTTAGCAACCAAACACAAGAATTAGAATTAGAAAGCTCCAATTCCAATTCTTGGTCCCAATTCAATGCAACCAAACAGAGCCTAAATGATTTTGGGAGGTTTAGACATTTGGAGAGGAAGTTGGAAACTCCAACTAGTAAGGATTGCCTCAAAATCAATTACTCCTTCCATCCTATAATTATTGTCCAGTTTGAGTTTTCATTTTTAGTTCAAATTGACTAAAAGTAAAATCTCAAACTGGACAATAATTTTAGAACAGAGGGAGTATGTCAATATATACAAATATCCCATAATTAATCAAATTAATATTCACGTTCCTACTAAGACATCACTGTTGAGAAAAGTACAGGCCCTTCAATCGGTATCTGAAATTATTCCTCGACTATACCAAGATATAATTTAGATTCAGACATTCAGTAGTACTATTAAAAACAGAAAATGCATATTCTGGCCACCATAATATATTTTCACATGCAGCTGGGTCCTTTCATGGTTTTTTTTTTTTTTTTTGGTTTGTTTGTTGCGTCTAAAGAACCATTGTGTTAAATGAGTGAAATTATTTCCTTCGATTATAGCTTAATTTGGTTTATATATTTCTTTTACAATCCCCCGGTTTCAATCACCAATTTCATAATTTAAAACAACTGAATTGAGAAACTGATTCCTATGTTTTGGATTTTAATTTCGCGACGAATGATCTCGTATCCAATTATTTGTTCCCATTTTCTGAAAACACAAAAACTAAAGAAAGTCCACTTAAGTGCTCATTCTATTAGAGCAGCACATACGAGGAAATTAAAGATTATCAGGAAGTTCAGTACTAGTGAGATTGGATCAGTCAATTAATTAAATTGTTAAATCAATGATACGGACTCTACATTGAAAGAAGATCAAAAGTCAGTCTACAACAAAATAAACTAGAAGTGGTTTCGGTCTTACAACACGAGCAAAAATATAGACCTAATTTTGTAATTTTAGTTTACCTCAAATATTACAAGTAAAAAGAAGAAGAAATTCATATGTTATCTGTACCCCAAAAAAAATAAAAATAAAACATAGAAATCTATTGCTACTCACCTCCAAAGAAATTATTCTACTTTCAATTTTTTGTTAAAAAAAAAAAAACTTAAAATCTGCAACTCATTGAATTTTACTTATCTTTTATGGGGTAAGATAATTAAAACAACCCATATTTAGAGGACTTTTACATAATTAAACTAAGTTTTATTTGAAAAATTAATCGAAAATTACACTTAGGATTTTTGTTAATATGGGACTATAAGAATAAATATTGTTTCTTTTATCTGGTTTCTCTCTTAAAATGTATATATACTTCCTATGTTTCAAAAGTATGGTCTCCAATTTATATTTTCAGTTTGGTATAATTTAAACTAAAAATAAATATTTAAATTGGATACAATATTGTTTTTTTAGTAGTGATAAATACATACAACCTTGTCAACTACTCAAAGCATTTATTGGGTACGCTCTTAGGCGATAAAAATAACACCACAAATCACACGGAAAAAATTCAACGGGCCGCAGTGTTCAAGTTTCCGACAGGCCACAGAAGACAGTCAACCCTCGATCGACATCTGAAAATAAAGTACAAAGATGTAGTTGTAGCAGTGAGCCGATAAATTTACCTCGGGAAGTGTGGCCGTCCGGGGACCGAGCTTTATTTCTCAAAACATTTTATTTCAATTTTAGTTACTTTGTTTTTGGAGTCGTTTCAAAACATGGTTATCTAAAAAAAGGTTTCGCTTCGAACTAGGCTATCCGAACAAGTGCAACAAGTAACAAACATGATTACTGTTGCGGATCCTAATTATATAAATTAATTCAAATATATATTTTTTTTGATTTATTTTTTTAAAAGTTCAAATATATTCGGTTTTATATATAGTTATAGAATTAGAGGAAATATTATTTTAGGACGGAGAATTGAATTGTGTGTCATATTCTTCCCTATGCATAATTTGAAAACTTCTCATCTGTCTCCGGACCTCATTTAGTAGAGATCTTTGTATTCTGTAAGAAGCCGCCCCAGAAAACCAATCACTTCCTCTGCGATTTTGGGAAAGATAGCTCATTGATTGACATACGTAGTTAATAGGGCAAAATTTCTCAACTTCCCCCTCACCTCACAAATTCGAGTTGAAATTATGCCGGGTTGGTCGTTTATTTGTATTTTATTTTTTCCCCTTCCTACCCAGTGAGGAGGTCCATAACGAATAAATACAGATTTATCTTTGCTTACGTTTTTTTTCACGAATTTTTTTTTTTTTTAATCTTTCTAAGCTTAATATATAGTTTCTTATGATCACATACCGTCTCCGGTGAAATGGAACCGATCTTTCACTTGTAACAATTCAAAAACTGAAAAATGGTGCCGTACTATGGCTATAAAAATACTGACTAAAACTTTAGGTTAATGGCTATAAAACTACTGACTAAACTTTTTGTCTGAATCAATTGAAAAAAAAAGTACTCCCTTCGTTCCATAATTATTATCCAGTTTGAATTTTCATTTTTAGTTCAAATTATACTAAAAGTGAAATCTCAAACTGAACAATAATTTTGGGACGGAGGAAGTATCATTCACGAGCAGAGTGATTGTTTTTATTTTTATTTTCTTAGTTCAATTCCATAAACGAATTATTCGTGCGTACTCAGTCAAAATTTAATTATTAAACTTAATAGTAATTTTGGCGCGCACTCAGTAAAATTTAAGTTGATGAATTTTTCAAAACATGATAGCCTTGATGAGATCGAGGACAAATTAATTGGTTGGCCACAAAAGGATTTTGAGTCATTTTTTATTTGAGATTTTGAAGAAATGAAAGTCAACGCGTTTGCATACCCTACCTTACTTGGATAGGACAAAAATAGGAAAGGTCTGGTCAACTGAGAAAGATTTGGTTGTCAACGGAAGGTCTAATGTGTAAACAAGGTCTAATTTGGAAACGACTTGACATATTATTATGTGTGCGTGTATATATATATATATATATATATATATATATTAATACTAATTACTCACTTTTTATTCCAATTTAATTGGTTACATTTTTTTCAATAAATAGAACTATGCTAAAAAATATTTTAATTACTTTTACATTCAGATATTAATATTTTAATCCTAGTTATAGTTACTAGCATATATCAATAGTAAGGCAATCGACTTGATGAATTGTAAGCTATATCGAAGATTTAAAAGAAGTCCAGGAATTGTCAACATCAAGACCATATTGCTATGAAGCAATCACAAGAAAGATTTCCATTGCTTTTAATTATTCCACAAGAGGGTCACCAAAACAATAAAGGAGAATTCTCAAGAACCGTCCCTGACAAATAGAGTAGTTACTACTATTGCATTCCCCGGATTGGAATAATGATAGATATAGAAATGTAAAAATCTTAAATTGATAGTTATTTGAGTTACACGCCATAAACCTATTGCATAGATCAGTGTACATGACTTGTGCAAGTCGCATAGATTGTAAATTCAATATTCTAGGTCTAATACAATTACCATTTACCAAACAGAAATATAATGTATCTAATTAAAATTATTGTGTGATTTCAATAGATAAACAAAAAGGTAAAACCATTGACTGTTTGGTCGCTCGCAAGCTTCATTGAGTTATTACTTATGGATGTCCAGAATCGTCCATACCCCATTCAAAACAACATGCATAAAGTCTGAAATGCGAAATGATGAAAAATACAATGTGTCGTCCAAGAAAATTGACCATAAAGAAAAAACAAAACCCTAAAGAGGAATATTCAAAATTTCCCAAAAAGACACTAAAACCGTCCCAAACAAAGCTAAAAAACACAAAATTTAGACCGAGATACAAACATGCAATAAAATGTTTTCACAGCTCTGACAACACCTTACCTTTAATTACTACACACATTTACTACCCTAGAGAGTATACAGGTGAATCCATTTATTACCCCCTTAACCACCACCTTTCCTTTCCTTCCCTATATTAAACCCCCTCGTGAATCCCTTCAATTTCCATCACCCCACAAAAAAGCTCAAACTCATCCATCATATTGACAAAAAAAACTTTTCACAACAAAAAAAAAAAAAAAAACGAACTTTATCATGAACAAAGTGAGATATAGCGGGCTGTTTTTGGTGTTTTTGTTGGTTTTGAGTGATTTTGCAAGTTTGGGAAATGGTCAAGATTATGGTGGCGGAGACGGTGATATTATACCGGGAGGAGGGGAGAGTGCAGGAGAAGCAAGTCGGAGGGCATTGGTGCCGGCAATGTTCATATTTGGAGATTCATTGATTGATAATGGCAACAACAATAACCTAGCTTCTTTAGCTAAGGCTAACTATTTTCCTTATGGCATTGATTTCAAAGGTGGTCCAACTGGTCGTTTCTCTAATGGTTACACCATGGTTGATGAAATAGGTATCTTTCACCCTCAACATATCTTTCATCTTTCATTTCTCTTTTTGCAATTTTTTTTTTGAATAAATTGAGGAATATATGAAGCAAATTTCTATCCTTAGTACCTTTATCCTCTGCTTATCTAGCTTATTAATGTCTTGCAGCTGAACTGCTGGGATTACCACTGATTCCACCATTCTCTGAGGCTTCCGGTGATCAATTGCGTTATGGAGTCAACTACGCCTCTGCAGCAGCTGGTATTCTTGATGATACTGGCCGAAATTTTGTAAGTTCAAAAAACAGGAGAAAGAAAAAAAATTTACTCCGTCGTCCCGTTTTTAATATTTTGTCATTTGATAAGATTAGTAAATTACATGGGCGTACATAATATTACAACAATTAGGATTAGATTAATAAAATTGAGCCTGATTTAATTTGTGTTTGTATTTATGTGCAGGTTGGGAGGATTCCATTTAACCAACAGATCAAGAACTTTGAGAACACACTGGATCAGATCACTGCGAATTTAGGTGCGCCTGATGTTTCCCAGGCATTATCAAAATGCATATTCTTTGTGGGAATGGGAAGCAATGACTATCTCAACAATTATCTAATGCCAAATTACAACACCAAGAACCAATACAATGCTCAACAGTTTGCAGATCTATTAGTTGGCCAATACACTCAACAACTCTCTGTAAGCCCATCAACATTTAATCTAATTTATTTCTTCCGTCCCAAATAAAAAAAAATCTAGTTTGTTGAACTACGACAGCATGGAATTTTTGATAAGGAGTTTTTTTTTTTTTTCCTTTTCAGAGATTGTATAATCTTGGAGCTAGGAAATTTGTGATTGGTGGGATTGGATTGATGGGATGCATTCCAAGCATATTAGCCCAAAGTGCGTCTGGGCTATGCTCTGAATCAGTTAACCAATTGATTATACCATTCAATCAAAAAAGCAAGGCCATGATCAACAATCTCACCACTACTCTGCCTGGAATAAGGTTTTCTTACATTGACATTCACAACATGTTCCAAGATCTTCTGACCAACCATGAAACTTACGGTATATACAATAGTACTTTTTCTCCAATTCATCTTCAATTTTTGTTTTTTTTTTCTCATTTATACGAATGAATTACTTTAACAAATTAATGGAACCGTAATGATAGAGATAGCCAATTATTATATAATAAAGAGTGAATCCGTAACATACATTATTCACTATTATATTTCACTGAACGGTTTCCCCAATTGTTTATTGGACAGGATTTAGTGTTGTGAATCGTGGATGTTGCGGAATTGGGAGAAACAGGGGACAGATTACATGCCTTCCATTCCAAGTGCCCTGCCCAGAGAGAGAACGCTACATATTTTGGGATGCATTTCACCCAACGGAAGCAGTCAACATCTTATTTGGAAAGAATGCTTTCAATGGACCTTCCAATTTCGTTTATCCAGTCAACATTGAGCAGCTAGCTCGTGTTTGAATAAAACGTTCACAGATGAATCATCATATTTTGCTGTTGCCGCTGCCATGATCGATCTTCATAGTTAACAAATACTCTATATAGATTAGCTTTTGGTTTTGCTACTGTTTAATTGATTGCGGTCACTTTTATGGTATGTTGTAGTAGTACTACTACTAATTGATACTAGTTGGAACTGAGATTATTTTGTATGGATTTTTTGGGAGTGGATTTATGTGCTAGTGATCTAATTGTGGCTCTCTTGGTTCTTGGACTTTTGCTTTTCTTTTCTTTTTTTTTATTCTTTTTTTTTTCCTTGGATTTATGTGCTAGTATTTCAATCGAAATTGTGCACTAATATGGAGACATGTTTTCCTCCAATCCTTAGTAATTACAGAGAGATTAAAGGAGGCAAAAAGTTTTTCACATAACATAAGGATGGATGATTGAAAAGAAAATGCCCTTAGTATTCTTCTGTCCTCATCAATTCTTGAGATCTCTTGTATTCGAATCAATGCTCTTATAAATTCATTATATATTAGAGAAAGAGGGGTCACAGATTGAAAGACATAAACTGGAGGAAGAGTGGTGCTGGGAGAGACATGATATTACTATAAGTAAACGGGCTACTCTCTCTCATAGTCAATTAGTTTTTAGGTGGAATTTCATGGGCTTGAGTATGGTATTAGAGCCAGCCCGTCGACATTCGAACTCCAAAAAATCCAACAAAAAAATAGAGCTGAGACGTGAGGCAGTACATGGGCCTAAAAAAATAGGACAAACCCAACTCAAAAAATACGATAGCTTGCGGGGCAGTATTAAGAATTCCAGTCCTAAAGTGGTGCTCAGAGAGACATGATATCACTATAAGTAAATGGACTACTCCCCCAATTGATTTTGAGCCTAAAAAAATAGGACAAACCCAACTCAAAAAATACGATGGCTTGCGGGGGAGTATTAAGAATTCCAGTCCCAAAGTGGTGCTCAGAGAGACATGATATCACTATAAGTAAATGGACTACTCCCCCAATTGATTTTGAGGTGGAACCCCATAAGCTTCTGTAGAAAGCAATAAGGTAAGTTGAATTGTTTAGTTGCTAATAATAACCCTTTACATATGTGAGTGTATACTGCTGAAATTCCGTCCAACTCGACTTTCAAAAATTACAGAAATTCCACAAAATTCAACATCAAAGATTTGTATTTCCAGGTGGCCTATTCAAATTCTTGTATCCTGCAGGGCTTCCATATTTCCTTTGAGGCTTTGATCGTCTTTAAATTACCAGGCTCGCTCGGGAGTCTTTACCTTTGGGCTTGGTTGAGACCTATTTCCTTTGCAGCTATCTTAGCTAGCCTCCTTAGTTGAGGAGATGAAGCTCAGTCTTTGTTGATGTGTTGGAACTTTTGTACTCACCTTTGTTAGTCAATTGCTATTGAACGTTTTCTAATCATAGTGAACTTAAGGAATGAAGAGTTCAGGCAACCTTTGGAATCAGTATTAAAAGGCCAAACACACAAGATCGATGTAAATGTCATTTCCAATATCATTTACTACATCTCTCCCAAAAAAATAGTCCACATTGAGTTTTCAAATTTGTACTAAAAACAGTACAAAACTCAAAATTCAATATGAACTATTTTTTTAGGACGGAGGGAGTATTTCGTTAGCAATGAAACATGATTTTAAAGTAGAGTCATATGTACAAAGAGCCAACAAAGAATGTGGGATTTCTGGATCGAGATAGGCCAATTTACAGTAGTATTTATTTATTTATTTATTTATTGGGAAACCAGGGACTTCGCCCTGTAATTTTTATTAATAAACAAAAATAAATTACATATAAGTAGTGAAAATTACTTTATTTTCCTAAAATATGGAAATTGACTTTGATCCAATAAAACTAGATCTTTTATACAATTAGGCAAGTTATTATGAGAATACTGTGAAGTGGTTCGGAGCGAACTCGCGAGTTTAGCGAGACCATTTGCTACTGCGTTAGTTTCTCTCTACACATGCCGAACGCTAACTTGCATATTTTGTGCCAAAAACCATATGAATGATTACATGGGCCACTATCCTATTTCACATGTTCGCTTTTATTCATTTTCCCCCCCTCTTTTCAATCCAATATAACTGAGTGGAAAAGGGATTCATCAATTTTTGACTCTCAAGTTCTCGAAGAAGAGCTATGGGCTGTTTATTTTGGGCTGAGAATTGTCTCGATGTTGGGCCTTTAAAAAGTCCAACTACAACTGGATTCATTACAAGCAATCAATTTGATTAATGAAAATAAAAACTCTCCCATCACTAGTAATATTTTTATAGAATCAGGAAGCTTTTGCATCTCTAGTGGATTGTGGAAATCACACACATTAGACGTCATGATAATGAATCTGCTATTTTTTTGCCAAATCAGGATTATCTTTCACACCGAGGCTACATAATTTGGCAACATCTCCAGGACCAACCTTAGAGAAAATGGCCGCAGACTGGCCTAGTTTCAACTCTCCTCCGATGAGTTAATTTTGTTTTTTCAAACTTCGGCTTCTTCAGTATATAAAAAACAAAAAAAATTAATTTTAAGTACAACAAGAAAAGTACAAGAAAAAGAAGAATGAAAAGTAAGGTTGAGAGGAGAACAAGTTGTATTACTCTTACGAGCCATTTGATAATACTATTGGCAACAAATTTAACAATATAAGGTTGAGCTATTACCGATCTAGCTATTCGCTTCAGTTTATTCACAATTAAGCTGGCTATATATCTATAGCACTCAAGGGAGAAAGTATTACCGCCGCCATCTTCATAGTTCAAAGAACTTTCCTCTACATGACTATATATATATAGTAGCTTTGTTGGGAATTTTTAATCCCATCGACACTCAAATATACTCCCTCCGTCCCATAATTATTGTCCAGTTTTACTAAAATGAAAGATTTTATTTTTAATCAAACTTAACTATATTTTACCTTAAACAACTGGATATACCCTTACATAAATAATTGTTTAACCACTAAGATTTTATGGATAACGTTTTTTACTAAGGACAAATGTGTAACTTGATCCATAAAAAGTCAAATTGGACAATAATTTTGAGACAATTTTTTTAGACAAAGTGGACAATAATTATGGGACGGAGGGAGTAACTATTTACTTAATCAATGCATTCTCTTATTCTCTCTCACCTCTCTCTTCTCTCTCGCCTAAAACACCCCGAACCACCACCTATCCTCCTCCAACCATCACTATTAAAGGTGGATGGGGGAGCTAATTTACTCAACCATCACCACCTTTTCTCAATCAAAAAAGAAAAAAGAAAAAAGAACTACCGCTGCTGCCCTCCGCCGCCCCTGCTCGAAACCCAGATCGACCCACCACTGCCGTCCTCCGCCCGAAACCCAGATCAATCCATTGCTACTGTCCTTCGCCGCCCTCCCCTCGGAACCCATCTACAACCCAGATCGCCCTAGTGTTGAGGTATCTAGATCCAGATCGAGCGCAACTGCAACGACACATGCTGAGGTATCCAGATCCAGCGGTTCGCTGGTTTCGTTCATCGGTTCATTTCCTCACTGCACCGAACCGGCTATTGGTCTGTTGGTTTAGTTTGTTTCCGATTTGTTTTTACTTTTTTTTTTTTTGTTTCAATTAAGTGGGATATCCCATCCTCAGTATAGATCTCGAATTGATTCTTTACTGAGCGAATTTAGTGCGTCAACAGAACCGGGTGCATTGGTTAAGTCTAAGTTCGATGTGTGCTGTTCGTCTTTAATGACGACTAAATTAATCTTGAATCCGTTGGTCCGTGACATATTCGAGTTCATAATTTTATTCTGTTCGGTGATATGTCAAACAATAAAATTATGCCATTGTGAGCATTTTCTCCTTGTTAGTTGTAACAGTCTAGTTACCGGTGCGGTCACTAGTACTGTAAGTACGTCATACGAACGGTTCAGTGATTACGCCATTTTTGGGCGGTTTGAGAATACGCCATTATGGGTGGTCTCGTTGTATTAATTGGTGCTGGACCATTTTCAGTAATATGAATGAAGTTAGTTTTTCTCTAAAAAAAAATCGACGCATGAAGCAGAATAAAATGTAAGTAAGCAAACACGCGTAACACAATTAATTACATGATCTCAACAGTTAATATTTAGGCTTTGTTTGTTTCATTTTTCTATGGTTTTTTTAAATTAATATATTAATAACTGTCTCATCCCATCATACCTTTTTACATTCTCAATACACCTTTTTACATTCTCAATACAATAAATACCTAAAAACACACTAAGAAAACCAAACAAACACACCCTAAATAGTTTGATCACAATTGATTTACTTTTACGGGCTAAGTAGCACAACTCTACTATGTAAACATTGTATTGATTCTTTCTGACCCAGTTCTTCAAAATAAGTTTGGGCTTTAAAGAGGTTGGCCTAACAAGCTTAATCCTTGATTTGACGTAATTATTAGTGATTGGAAAATCATACACATACAGGCTGGAGATGAAGTAGCACACCACCTAGCTAAGGTGGGCTACTTAGCCCGGGAAGGGGTATATATTTTGGCAACACTTCCGCACTAATACTAGATAAATTAGCTTTAGACTGTCCATCTTTTGATCTCCGACCTCCCGGCGATATTTTGTAATCCAAGTTTCTAGTTTCCTCATTATATATATATATAAATTATTGGTGATTGTTTCGTGGTATGCGGTTGTAGTGCTACTACTAATTTATGGTTGGACGTTTTTCGAAAACAATTGAGATCTGGAACTAAAATTAATTGTAAGGAATTTTGTTGGTGGATTTGTATGTTATGTTTTGGTTTTGTCCTTTATATTCGTCTCATCATTTCTCCGATGATAATTTATACGAAGAGTGTGCAAAGAAACAATTGATCAAATCACGTCTAGAAATGATGACAGCCCACTTGTGTAGTAATTTTGAAATGCAATTTTTTAAAATCATTCTTCCTCGCAAGAGACGTTACCTTCTGGAGGGATGAAACCGACTAGATTATTTTTCATCCTAAAAAATTGCAAAAGATGTTCTTCAAGTAGAAGCTTATGTGGATGCTCAAGCTGGTGTTTGAGTTCAAGAAATCAAACTCGAATATTTTATGACTAAATCAAATCCAATGAAGAAATAAACACTATGTTTCCTCGTAAAACCTTAAATGCTTACTCACATGTAAATAAAAAATAGTGCACGTTGAGTTTTAAGTTTTGTAATGTTTTTAGTACAAATTTAAAAATTTAATGTGCACTTTTTTTTGGGACAGAGATAGTAATAGTCTTTCGTCCGACGTATTTTACTAATTTATTTTATTGTACGAAAAGAGTAACCAAATTCAACAAACTAAGACGGGATCCAAAAACAAAGCAAACATATGGGGTTGGATAACAAGATGTGGATGAGTGAATCCATCCTGGCGATCCTTATAAAACACGTCGATGATGCGAGCAAGGTTGAGAACTCGCCGGAGAACACCCCGAGGCACCGGCGTGGGCATTAGCATTTCCTCATTTATGTCCTTCCAAGCTTCCTCGCAGATTTGTTCCAATTGGTGTTTTGCTTCTTCCTCCGAAACGTTATAGTGCTGCATGTAGCAATCAATTGGAGTTGCACCCCTTTTCTTCTCATCCTTCATGCCAGTAATACGAAATAAATTTATGTAACATTATTTATCAAATACAAGTAATGAATTTGCTAAAATGTGAATGACAAAAGGGATGTGGACAGCTACTTTTTAAAAAGTCTAATTTGATTTAAAAGTGGTTTGCAAGATAGTTTAGGTGTCGGGATTTGAGGCCTTGTATAAATAGAGTATTTAAATAAAAATCCCACTTGCGATCTCAATCGCTCCGTTCTCATTTACCATATGTTTCCACTGACTCTGGTACTTTTCTTCATGAAAATGATCTTGTTTTTGAAACGTAGAAGATACTTCCTAGCTTTATGTGATGGAGAAAGTGTGACATAGATTATACTCCCTCCGTTCCAAAAGAATAGTCTATATTGAAATTTGAGTTTTGTACTATTTTTAATATAAATTTGAAAATTAATGTGGACTATATTTTTGGGACGGAGATAGTATTAATTGATTATCATGTATTACTGTCCTCCATCTAGAGGGAAAAACGAAAAAAACAATTCACAGTACAATTAGTAACTTTTTACAATTTTTAATTAATACGGTTCACAAAATACGATGTGAATTATTTTTTAGGTATTAGTGAAGTAGTATTAGAAAGAACTTGAGACACAAACAAAAGGGAGCTTGTGCAAACCTCATGAGAAGCCACATCATTGATAAATCTTGCAATTTTTGCAGAAGCCACAAGAATCTTAGGATCTTTTGTTTGCCAATCAAACACATCTATAGTGCCACTCTCCATGGCTAGAAAACTTATCGTTTGGAGCAAGAAATAGGTGCTTGTGATTAATGCGCTGACTTTGTATACTGGAAATGGTGGCAGCTCTCTCGTAAAAAACCAACATGATTGATTGTAGCTTGCCCTTACATATTGTTTGCACTGATCAATGAAACATTCAGGTAACTAGTGACTAAAATAGATTGAAAATGAATATAAAAACACTAAAATTTACAAATTGTAATGTACTATTTGTTGAAAAAAAAAAGAATAATCACTTCATTTCAAAATATACGTCACTTTAAACTTTAGAAAGTTAGTGACTTGTTTTAAAATTCTAAAATGATCTATATTCTGAAATATTTTTGTAATACTAAAACGACCTATATTTTAAAAGGGCAATGTAGCATTATTTTTGTGATTAATCATAATACTAACCTCCTCTTTGTACTTGGAAAATGCATAGGACCTTCCTCGTTTAGTTAACTCTTTTTCAACCCACTCACTCAAATTTAGAAGAGCCATATAGGTAGGTTCCATGTACTCAGGCAATCCATCGATCTCCTTGATATCCCACCTGAATATTGGTGGTATGCAATGAGTTTCTCATAAGTTACTCTTTGTCATGATTAACAGTGGAGAAAATACATGCATCAAAAGAATTTTATTGGTTTAGGTCTTATTTGTGTCTTATAAATATGATAAAAAAACAGATATTGTATTAGTTCCTTTTACAACAAAAAACTGAATAGACGAACATCAATATAGGAGTATTTCTAGTACTGTCTCTGTCCAAAACTAAATAAATCAAAATAGTTCGATATAAATTTGAAAACTCGATATGAACTATTCGAGAGAGCAATATATAAACACGTGCACATACCTTTCCACTGCATCCCTGAATGCTGTTAGCTCTTCAATTGTACCATAAGCATCATATGTGTCATCGATTATTGTAAGTATTGTCAACGTTTTCGCAATAACGATTCGTCCAAAAGTGTACTGGGGTTCAAAGAAAACTCCATTGCCCGAAAAATAATTTTCCACAACTCTATTTCTTGAATATGGGACTTTTTCAACTATTCCCAAGTCGTTGACCCAACTGCATGTTAATTGAGAATCAGACATATTTTAAATAATATATTTTGCCAACCTAAAATGCTTAAAATTATTGTAACGTATTTGCCTCGTCAAGTAAGCAAGTTCTTGTCTATACAGCATCTGGAGCAATCTGTAATCCAATCTAGCAACCCTTAGTAGTAAAGGGTTGTGATTTTCATCTTCTTCGTAAACCGATATGTAATGACGAGCTTCTACCCTTGGAAGACCTTTATGCAACGACTGCTTGAGAGCATGATTAACTTGTTTCGCAATTGTGGAAGACGAATCATCAGGCATTAAATTTGCATTTAAATGAGTAATTGCAAAAGAGAGGGCTTCTTCTAAAATGTTGTCTTCGTGTGTTCTCACTTCAGCAGCTTCATATAGACTAAGAAGTCCCTTTATATCTTCCCCGAGAGTTTCTTTAAATTCGCCATTTTCGTTCAAGAATCGCTTGAAGGTACCTGCTTTGGTTATCATTATCAGTTATTTCTGAAAAAGCATATGAGTATTTCTTATAATATATGAGATTGGTTTAAGAAAATAAAATTGTTATTCATCTAAAGATTCTATATTCTTCTATCGAAAACATACCCAAAATTCGTTATTATATTCATTAAAAGAAGCCCGAAATTTGTTTTCACTCTCATTAAAATCCTGCATACACAACTCTTCAAAACCTTATAACGCTAACAAGTTTTCTCCAAAAAAAAGAAAAGACAAAAAAAAAAAAAAGAAGGAAAAATTGCATACCAGAAGATATGTTGAATCCGTGCTGCCTCAATAGTCGGAAGTGTAGTGCCGCAGCACTTAGACCATTCTGCAAAAGGGCTTCAAAATCTTCATCATTTTGATGGAAAATCTCCTCCAACAAAGCATCAATTTCGTTCTCAAAGTGGTACGAAATGCCAAGTTGTTCTACAGCATCAATCAAGTTGAGCTTTTCAATCGTTTCCCTTTTTCTTCCACCGATAAGCATGCTCCTTACTTCTTCCTTCAGAGCTTCAATCTCTTCCGCATACAAGTCGTATTCCTGAGCCCAAAACAATTGATTCATTTTCTATTTTCTCTTTTGTTTTCTTTTAGGATTCAATAAGATCGAAAAAAAAAAGAAAAAGAAACAGAAATGATATCTATATGATACTCCTTGAGTACTAAAATTATTGTCCAATTTAATTTTTCACTTTTAATGTAATTTGAACTATAAATAAAATCCCAAACTGTACAATAATTCTGGGACAGAAAAGAGCATATACAAATGCTGTCGTACCTTCTGGTCCAATGTATAGTTATCGAAACAATTTTCCCAAAGGCTAGCTGGGAAGTCGGCCAGTGGGCGAAGGATTGATTCATCCTCCTTGTTGTTGATCGAAGCCATTTGGTAAATTACTTAGTTGAAAAAGAGGGGGGATTAACTTGTCAATTAGAAATGCATGAAATATCGTATATCTCCTTAGATATAGTAGAACACATTACTCAAGGAGTAGAACTATTGATGATTCAAAAATGATATCCAACTAGAAACTCATGTGATTAACATGAGTTAAGGTTTAGGGACGCCATTATTTTTACGCTTATAGTTCTAGTTAACTGTAATGTTGGCTTTTTTGTTTCGGGAGAGAACTAATAATTAGCCAATAAAATTTTGGAAAAGTTGTTTTGATCGATGTACGAAATGTATAAATAAATGTTCACAGTGGCTTTAGTTTAGTGTTTTGGTTGTCATTTTTCTCTTCAAATCCAGTTAATTAATGACTTCGAAGAATCAAAATGAGGAAGCTCAAAACAATGTTATAAGTGGTTTTAATAAATCACTCTGTTCCTAAATAATCATTTTGTTATATTAAAATAATATAATAAACAAAATAATAATCTTACAACACAGAAAGTAGTAGATAAAATGTCAAGATTCACGAGTGCATGGCATGCAAGACAAGGCTTTAATCAATTTTGTCACTTGACATTAATTATTGATTTGTTGTAGCCTAGCCAATTGAAACAAATAGATGGCGTGATTTGGACTTTGCAGTGGTCTTATACTCTCATGTATTGGAAAACTTGCCAGAAAATGATAGATACATAATTAGTTTAGGTACGGGTAACGATCGATGGGATTGAGTATATCTTTTCTTGTGATTTAAAGATACACGTTAACTTGAAGTTACAGTGATTAGTGACTCTCGTTAATTTAAGTATATCAATGAGTACGGCAGTTGGTTGAAAAAAATAAATAAAAGGTTGCTTTACACCCAAGATGTTTGAACACTTAATTGAGAATGAATAGATTCTTTCTATTCAACCATAACCCATATGATTTAAAATTGATTCTATTTAGTATTAAGGTTATAAATCATCAATCTGGAGTTTGGTTGACCAGATCAATAAAAGCTGCATGCTAATATCCGAGTAGTGCTTCTATAGCTCCCAATTGATCTCCATGGCCTTTCAGCTAATCTTAAGAACCATATCCAAGAAATGTTCTCAAGAGAACTTTTGGTTTTATTTTTATTTTTATTTTGGAAAAGGGCACCTGTATTAATTAAATAAAATAAAGGTATCTATATTATTACATCGCATTCTATTATAGGTTAAATTATACATATTCTGGACATCTTTTCTACTAACTGTAGTCAGCTCACAGAAATCAAACGAGGCTATTAGGGCAATTATTAAATATATTACACTTATGGTTCCACGGGAATTAGTGCAGTCCTTAAATTGGTGGCAAGGATTTCACAATCCGTTTGGACTCTTAGGCGTGTGATACTAAGAGAAGAAATTTATTGTAATGCTCCTAGACATGTCATGGCTTTTGTCTGGAGCGAAGAAAATGCATTTAGGTTGATGGATTTTATTTGCATGATCATACCATGAGGGGAAACTATCTTCCAAGCACATGCTGCCGTTGAGGTTGTAGGAAAACTTTCGGTTATCAACAAAGCTAAACATGTAAGATCCTGCAGAAATTTTAAAAAAGAATTTTTGTCGAAGATTAAAAAACCTTTTCATCTACAGGGTTCTAATTATGTGGCTTCATAGATATCAAACCACAGATGTCAATTAACAGATTTCTTACACTATTTTCGGTGTTACATTTCATGTAACATTATTTCACGATTTGATACATATCTTTTTTCTCTTTTGATATGGAATCCATAATGCAAAAATAAAAATTAGGACTTAAAATAACTTTTAATGGATTCATACCTTTTTTTCTCGTGCCTGCAATTCTAAAATATTCTCTTCAATTCTTATTATAACATATTTCGTATATCCTAAATTTTATTAATATTCTTTTAATAGAAAATAAAAACTTAAAAATGTATTTTAATTTAGTATATTTTTCAACATGGTACATGGGAGTTGGATAGGTGGTTTTGGATGAGTGATATGGTAACAAACTAATGGAATATTTTCTTTATTCCAAAATGGATGTATTTCTAGTAATTTTATCAAATCAGGGAACATTTAAAAATGTGTTTAAAATACAAAATTATATTTATTTATTATCTATATAAATCATCATCAACCAATACAATCTCATTTTTTCATGCATTATTTGTCTCAAATAAAAATTATCAAAAAATGTAAGAGTAATCGCGTTGAAAGATGCATTCATTTATACCCACTTCGTCCTAAAAAGATATCCAAAATCCCCTCCAATAAATACAGTATAAGTTAAACCTTCTCAAGTAATAGCCGAACATTTATACTAGAAATTTTAATCTGTGCACTTGAATTTTTTAATCTTATTTTTCATGTCAGAAAATTTGTAAGATGAATATTTTTTGTCGTCTATTTTATCTTTTTGATATGAAAATGTGAATATATAGAGCAAAATGTAAAGAAAAATAAATAAAATAAATTCTCTTAATTGGAAATATTGTCTTGCAGGTTGCAACTGAACAGAAAGCGTGAGGTTTAGCATACATATGCTTCCACGTTTTATTAAATTTCATCTATTAAAGGCGTGATACTATTTTTTTTTAAAACAAATTAGATCCAAAACTACACCAAATAGAACTGTAGAATCGAAACTAGAGGCATAACAGAGTCGAAAGATTGCATCTCTTCAAGCGCGAGTTTTCAATGGTTGTGAGATGATGGGTTTCTGTTGAGGGACTTTAGGGCAAAATCTCCAATTTTGTTCTTCAATTTTTAGAACCCAGATTACTTTTTTCGAAACTCTCTATTTCTTTCAATGAGTACGAAATCCCAGATAAAGAAATGGACCATTGATCCCCTAGACACTTCATATTTTCCATAATGAATCTCACTGTAATCACTGGTAATATTTTTTGGTACTATGCACAGGTATTCCACATCCATTGAGAGTGTCTACATTGAACATAAACCCGTATTGAATAAAAAAAAGTGTGTGAAATCAACCCATTGAAAAAAAAAAAACTCTTAGAAAGGAACAAAAACTTTAAAGGAAAATGAAACAGATAGACATATTTGATTGTTTTGAAGTATTTACTGTCATGGAGTTTAAATAGAACATGATTTATTAAATCCTATATAAGATTTAGGACAAGAGTAATCTAGGATAACTTGGACTTTATTTGAGTTTTCATTATCGGATTAGTTATTTCAAAAGGTTGTTGCAAAAGTTAAAATAAAGTTACTTCTACGGTTAAGATGCACTGTAATCATGGTTACATCTATTTTTTTTTTACTTCCAATTTAAGTGAGCTTCCAATTTCATGCCAAGTAAACTATTTTTATCCTGTATCAATATAAATAGATATATATAGATATATATTTTGGTTTCAGGTATACATAATAGGTATTTTTGTAAAATATTTTCTGCATTATTTGTGTAAAATAAAGATTATAAAAAAATGTAAGAGTAATCACGTTGAAAGATGCATTTATATATACTCTCTTAGTCCAAAAAAGATATTCAAAATTCCCTAAAAAATACAGTATAAGCTAAAACTTCTCAAGTAATAGCCGAACATTTATACTGTAATTTTAATCTTTGCATTTGAATTTTTTTACTCTTATTTTTCATGTCAAAAAATTTGTAAGATGAATATTTTTCATAGTCTATTTTATCTTTATGATATGAGAAAGGTAAATATATAGAGAAAAATGTAAATAAAAATAAATAAAATAAATCCTCTTAATTGGCAATATTGCTTTGCACGCCGCAACTGAATATAAATCGTAGCATACATATACTTCCACATTTTCTTAAATTCCATCTAAAGGCGTGATACTATTCTTTTGAAAGAAATTGGATCCGAAGCTACACCAAATAGAGCTCCAGAATCCAAACTGGTGGAATAACAGAGTCGAAAGATTGCATCTTTTCAAGTCAAACTTTCAATGGTTTAAATTGGTGAGCTTCTGTTGAGGAAACTTTAGAACAAAATCACCTCCAATTTTGTTCTTCAATTTTCAGAACGCAGATTTTTAGACTTTCGAAACTCTCTCTTTGTTTTAATGAGTACAAAATCTTAGATGAAGAAATGCACCCTTGATCACGTAGACACTTCATTTTTATCATTATGAATCTCAATGTAATCACTGGTAATATTTTCTGGTACTATGCACAGGTACCTCACATCCATTAACAGTGTCTGCATTGAACATAAACCCGTATTGAATGAAATAAAAATCTGTATGAAAACAACCCGTTGAATAAGAAAAAGAACTCTAAGAAAGGAACAAAACTTTTAAAGGAGAATGAAACAAGAGACATACCTGATTGTTTTGAACTGTTTACTGTCATGGAGTTTAAATAGAACAATATTTACAAATCCCGTATAAGATTTAGGATATGAGTATCTAGCATAACTTGGACTTTATTTGAGATTTCATTATCAGATTACTTATTTTAAAAGGTTGTTACATAATGTTAAAATAAAATTATCTTCTTCGATTGAGATGCACAATAATCACAATTAAATATTTTTTTTTTTACTTCCAACTTAAGTGAGCTTCCAATTTTATACCAAGTAAGCTATTTTCATCTTGTATTAATAGATATAGATTTCATTTCCAATTCAAGCATAATATTGGAAAAATAGTATAAAAATTACCACAAATTATAAAACAATATATTTTTTCAAACATTTTGTAAACCCTAAAACGATATATTTTAAAAAATGGAGTGAGTAAATCATTTCTTAGGTTTAGAATTGACAATGGGGAAGTCATAATCGGCGGGGGTTCAATTTGTACAGGTCTTCCTTTACTATTGAGATGAATGGTGATTGATTTTCTGTATTTATAGTTTCTACGAATAAGACTCATGAAATATATCGACATTGATTATATTACCAATGAACTAGTTCATTAGTTCTTATTATGTGCAAAGGGTTTCAAAAATGAATTATATTCGCTAATAGATCGGGGCATGAGATCTCG